AGAAGCTAAAAGTAGCAAAAGGCCAGCTAAAAGAAGTATAATAAGACAAGCTAAAATCTAAAAGTAGCCAAAGGCCAGCTAAACGAAGTATAAGAAGACAAGCTAGAAGCTAAAAGTAGCAAAAGGCCAGCTAAAAGAAGTATAAGAAGGCTAGTTAGAAGCTAAAAGCAGCAAAAGGCCAGCTGAAAGAAGTATAAGAAGGCTAGCTAAAATCTAAAAGTAGCCAAAGGCCAGCTGAAAGAAGTATAAGAAGACAAGCTAGAAGCTAAAAGTAGCAAAAGGCCAGCTAAAAGAAGTATAAGAAGACAAGCTAGAAGCTAAAAGCAGCAAAAGGCCAGCTGAAAGAAGTATAAGAAGGCTAGCTAAAATCTAAAAGTAGCCAAAGGCCAGCTAAACGAAGTATAATAAGACAAGCCAGAAGCTAAAAGTAGCCAAAGGCCAGCTAAACGAAGTATAATAAGACAAGCCAGAAGCTAAAAGTAGCAAAAGGCCAGCTAAAAGAAGTATAAGAAGGCAAGTTAGAAGCTAAAAGTAGCAAAAGGCCAGCTGAAAGAAGTATAATAAGACTAGAAGCTAAAAGCAGCAAAAGGCCAGCTGAAAGAAGTACAAGACGTCTAATGAGATCTAAACAGGACCAGGTCCATCAAAGATCTGAACCAGGACGTGTTGGATGCTTGGGCTGTTTTGTCATGTTTTCAGCTGTTTGTAGCTCAAACCGTGTCTCGGATCGACCTGTGTTCTGTTGTCTTTATAGATTTATCTGAGGAAACAGGAACAGACTGTGTTTGATCGACAGGCTGCTGGGAACCACAGATCTGATTTAAAGTGCTTCATCTCTGGGCTTCAGGAGCATTTTTCTGTCTGAAGCTGAAAGAAAAAGCAAACATATCTTTTATTTTATGGTTTAATTGAAATAAATCAAATCATTATTACACGTGAAGCTGAGTTTGGCTGCAGTTCAAGGAACAAACGGTTGTGTGAAACATTCTGAAGCTTTAAATAGAAAAACAGCTGAAAACGATGAGCCGAAGCTCGGGGAGTTCCTGAAGGCCATCGTGAAACAAGACGTGTCTCCTCTGTTCGTCTCTGCAGACACARAACTTTATGAATCATTAAAACCAGAAAAGATTCAGACAGAAAAACACCAGAGGAAACATCAGGAGGTCCAGATCCTGATCCAGAACCTCCTGCAGCTGCACAACTCTGCATTTCTCCTGGTCTCTCGTGGTTGTGGAGTTTGGCCCACTCTTCTTTACATGTCTGAAGGTCCCACCACAGGCTTTGAGCAGGTTTAGGTTCATTCTTACTGAATGAAGTGTAATAAGGCTAGCTAGAAGCTAAAAGAAGCATAAAGAGGCTAGCTAGAAGCTAAAAGTAGCAAAAGACCAGCTGAAAGAAGTATAATAAGGCTAGCTAGAAGCTAAAAGTAGCAAAAGACCAGCTGAAAGAAGTATAATAAGGCTAGCTAGAAGCTAAAAGTAGCAAAAGGCAAGCTAAAAGAAGTATAATAAGGCTAGCTAGAAGCTAAAAGTAGCAAAAGGCAAGCTAAAAGAAGTATAATAAGGCTAGCTAGAAGCTAAAAGTAGCAAAAGGCCAGCTGAATGAAGTGTAAGAAGGCTAGCTAGAAGCTAATAGCAAATGGCCAGCTAAAAGAAGCATAAAGAGGCTAGCTAGAAGCTAAAAGTAGCAAAAGGCCAGCTGAAAGAAGTACAATAAGGCTAGCTAGAAGCTAAAAGTAGCAAAAGGCCAGCTAAAAGAAGTATAAGAGGGCTAGCTAGAGGCTAAATGTAGCAAAAGGAAATAAGATTAGCTAGAAGCTAAAAGCAGCAAAAGGAAATAAGGCTAGCTAGAAGCTAAAAGTAGCAAAAGGAAATAAAACTAGCCAGAAGCTAAAAGTAGCAAAAGGAAATAAAACTAGCTAGAAGCTAAAATTAGCAAAAGGCCAGCTGAATGAAGTGTAAGAAGGCTAGCTAGAAGCTAA